GGAAGAAGGAGCTAAAGAGAGGTAGGACCATAGGAGAAGGGTATTAGAAAGGGAGAAAGGGGGGGAAATGGGGGCACCTTAAGTAGGAAAACCATGATGGAGGGGTGAGACAATGCGAGAGATAAATAATGCCTACCTAGTTTTAAAAATCAGAGGGAACCATATTACTCCAACAACTTACTGACAAATTATACATAGCAGATCAAGAAATATATATCTAGGTAAGGTCATGACACACAGTAATTAAAAGTACCAGACTGGTGGAACTAACCTTCTTGGATGTTGAGCAGACATACTTTGAGGCCTATAAGAATTTGGTCAGAGGGAAATAAAGGACACTTTTTGCTCCTTACCCTCCTAGGTCTACTAGTTCCAGGGGACTATAAGCATCTCTCAAAATGTCCTGCAATTGTGGTGGGTCACCTGTCCTCTTGATTAAGGAGGCCGAAGAGACCCCCAGATGGACCAGTGTCCAGTCTACAAAGAGGAGGGTCAACACAGAGGAATCATTTCCTCCATGCTTCCAAGCGAAGCCAACCATGGTTGAGCCGGACCTGTGACTTGTCTTCACATAGGCGGAACTGGTGAAAGAAAGGAGGCAGGGGCTCCTTCCAAGCCCATGTGACCTCTGAGGAACAGATCCTCAAAGGGATTCTCAGTAACCCAGCATAGAACTGGGAAAATGAACAGCAGACTCCAATCTTACCTCAAGGAATATTGATAACTGATTGCTGCTGGATGAGGAACAGCTGACCTCCCTAAAACAATGACCTCTTGTTCCCCAAATGAACAAGTAGTAGGGAATGGCTGGGGGTGCCAACAACACAGCGGATAGTAGCAGGGATATCATAGTATAAAGGCTCTAGTGGGGGGAGGGAAGCTATGGGAGGGTGCCATCTGGGAAGTGGGTGTATAGTTGAATAAGATGGTTTGGGATGTTCTGTGTGATATACATATGCACACAAAAAAAATCAACAAAATTTTAAAAACGTATTACATTTGAGGAGGAAGCATGGAAATTTATGGCATGTTAATTAGTAGAGGTGATAAACATTACCATTGAAATCTATCTGATGACTTTATAGACAAGGATCCAAGTGCAACTGATTATGATGAGTAATAATCAGATACATACACATTAGAGATGCATGTGCCAACATCTCAGTGTTAGTAGCAAAAACAATGAGTCTTTCTGCAAGGATCAATATATTCTAAAATTAAATGGAGATCTTTTTTAAAGGTTAAAAACTCATATGTTAGTGTGTCTTACAGGGTTTATACTGAGTTCAATATTGTATAACCATATTAATTCAACTGTGAATCTAGAAACTTACAGCCACTTGTAAAAGAGATGTACTCTTGCCCTGGATAGTGTTACTGAATATGTTAAAGCAGTAATGAAATGCTTCTTCCAATCATGTAGTTATTAAAAATTAAAACAAAATTGGAAAGGAGCCACATACTGTATATTCCATGTATATAAAATGGCCAGAGTAGATAAATCCATAAAACACACTAACATTGCCTAAGTCTAGGGGTGGGAAGGATGGGGTCACTATAATGGGTATGATGTTTCATTGTACAATAATGAAAATGCTCTGACGTAACACTGTGATTGGGTACATGGTTCTGAATATATAAAGGTCAGTGAATTCTGTACTTTAAGGGTGAATTTGTGATAAGTGAGTTATACACCATGAAGCTGTTACATAATAAAAAAGAGATAACCATATCATTTATTGTTATAAAATTTCTTGTTCAAAAATGCATGAAAACATAGCTGAACGTCATGAACTGTCACACTTAACTGTCACACTTAACTGGAGGTTGTTGACACTGCCTGCCAGCCCGCAGTCTTCCTTGTCTCTCCTTCCACTCTCAGGGCTTTTCCCGAGCGATGCGGGGTTGGTAATCCTGGACACATGCCCTTGGTTGACTATAAGTAGCATGTCTTCTATTCCATTGCTTGCCTTTGTACCCTCTTAAAGGTATCTTTTGAAGGACAAATGTTCTTAATTTTACCACAGATAAAGGAATGTATTTTTTTTTGTTGTTTTTTTCGTCTTTTTGAGACAGGGTCTCCCTGTAGCCCTAGCTGGCCTGGATTCGCTATGGAGACCAGGCTGGCCTCTGCCTCCCGAGTGCTGGGATTAAAGGCATGTGCCACCATGCCCAGCAGGAATGTATCTTTTTATGGCTAGCACTTTCCATGTCCTTTCCCTAAGAACAGGAACATTTTAATAGACCCCTTAAACACCATAATTGATTGTAATCCTCTAAATCAGATTCATATATTTTTCTTCATTTCTTAATAAATTTTAAAAAAGAAAATGTAGTATATATATTTTCCCAGACTGCAGACAATAAATAAGACATTCACATTGTCATAGAGACCTTCATATTTCTGGATCTTTCTGGGTAATCAAATCATTGTTACAGAAAATCTACAGGACACTTCCATTTACTTAGAATCCAAACAATTACAACGGAGATACTATTTAAAAACAAAATGGCATAGTATTAAAGTTCAAAATTAAATATTTAAGAAACTGTAAGATCTCTCCAAGAAATATTACATTCAAAATAGGTTTTCTTATGAACAAATAATAGATCTGAAGCTTAGAGATTCTCCATGGTAGCTGTCGTGATTGTTGTTTAATTACATATTCAAATAAACAGAGCATTTCTGTTCTTTCACCAGCCTGGGCAAATGTGGCTTTATTCTAGAAGAATAGACACATACCCTCATGTTTGACCCTAGGTCCATCTGTACAAGAATTGATAGTTTTCCTTTCTCAGCAAGAAGCTTTTGTAATGGTACAGAAGAAGGGTACTGTGGCTTTCTGTTTCAGGTAAATCTAATTTATAAATTCAACTTGTACACAATCATTTGTATTACTGGAGTAATGAGAAGCCAGCACTTCCCACAGCAGCTCACACATAGCACACACATATGCTTATGAACAAATTGAATGGGATAAATCTAATCTTTTAAAAAGAATACCCTCCATCTATGCACATAGAAGTTTCCATCACCCGACCTTTACAATTCACTATGTATCCAATCTCCTGAGCAAAAAAGCCAGCCTCAGCAGAGAACTTGCAAATACTTACTCTCTCTCCTTTCAGGCTCACTTGGTTCAAGTCTATGAGCTTCAGATGGATTCAACTGCCACTGTGGGAGGGTGAAAATATTTTATTTATATGTTTGAAATGAATAAAAAACAGCATACTTTGATTTTCAATATCAAAACAGTTTTAAAAAACAAGTACAAGAAAATGGAGCTAGCATGTCCATGTCGACAAACACTGGTAATCAGATCTTGACCTTGAGTGACCCTGAATGAGCCAACCTCTAGATTTGTAATATGCCCTCTGGTGCAACAGTGGGATATTATGTGCAAGACTATAGGTAACCAACCACTTTCTAATTAGATTTAAGGCATGCTTTATAAGATGGAGCCTGTACCTGACATTGATATAGGCCTAGGAACCTGTGGCCAGACAGGATACAGGCCATATGGGAGAGTCCGATACTATTATTCTGCTAAAATAGATATAGTCTTAAAACGACTCCTACTGACTTATTATCATACCCATAGATTAATGCATCTCTCAGCTCTCACCAAAGAAGTAGAAATTCACAACTGGCCAATGTGCAGAGAATAAGAGACTGCAGAGTGCTTATCCCTGAATAGAGCACCTATATAAAACTTCTGCTGCCAAAAACTCAGGGGTAATTTCAGAAGAGGAGGTGGAAAGATTCTAAGAGCCAAAGGTGATGGATGACCACAAGGAAACAGAGTTTTTTCAGACAGCTGAGAAGTTACTCATATGAGTTCACAGCAATGGTGACAGCATACACAAGTCCCATATAAGTTCAAGCCAGAAAAAATTCCAGCATAGATGTGGGGAAGTAGGTAAGAAACCCCAACCCTGAGGAACTATTAGCAACTGATGGGTGCTTGAAGTAGGAGAGTCAATCTTGTTTAAGGGTGTGACTCTTGGTAGGTTAACCAGGCTCCACTGGATAAACCCACACTGAAGGACACTTGGGACACACACACACACACACACACACACACACACACACACGAAATTGGGAAGGAGATAGGTGTTGGGGGTGCAGATAGGGGAGACATTCTAATTATGATCAAAATATATCCTATGAAATTCTCAAAAATTAAAAAAAAACCAAAACAAAAACCCGAACAAACCTCTTAGAGAAGGAAGGGACTTTAAGGATCCATCACATTCATTTTGTGGTTAATAAATGGAAGATAAGAGCAGTAACTTGTCCAAGGTGATAGTGACTAAAGGCAGGGATGGAACTGGAGTCTGTCTGTCTAGCATTTATCTATTTTTTGTGTGTGTGTTATGCAGATGTGTACATGTGTGTGCTGGTATGTGCACTCATGTAAGTACACACGCCTGTGCATAAACACGCATTGGTCAGAAGAGGATGTCAAGAAACCTCCTCTACTATCACTCTTCACCTGATACTCCAGAGACCGGTCTCTCACTGACCCTGAAGCTCTCAGTTTTTCAGACAGGCTGGTGGCTGGCAATCCCCAGCAATCCTATCTCTGTTTGCATTCACCCAGCTCTGGAGTTACAGGCACATATGGCTATTCCTGGCTTTTACATTACTGCTGGGGATCTAAACTCAAGTCCTCACTGAACCATCTCCCCAGACCCTTACTGAGTCTTATACTAGCTAAAGAAGGCCCTGACATTAAAGAGTGAAAATACAATGGAGACTTTTGGTCACTTACAGAAGTAGATGGCTCAGGTTAGCATCAAGAAAGAGTCAAAGGGCTGGGAAAGTGGTTCAGTGGGTAAAGTGGTTGCTTTACAAGCATGAGGACCTGAGTTCAGATCCCTAGCACTTGCATAAATCAGGCACAGTAGTGAGTGCTTGCAACTTCAGAGCTGGGGATGCAGAGACAAGTGGCAACTGGTCAGCCAGTTTAGCTGAAATGGTGAGCTCCAGATTGAGGAAGAGACCCTCTCTCAAAAAACAGGGTAAGGAGTGATAGAGGAAGACACCTGACAAGAACCTTTGGCCTCCATATGGGCATTTAGGGGTGAGCTCACGCACACACCCATGTGCACATGCACACACATACACACACACACACACAATGGGGAAGGAATGACTTACAGAGGGTGGGAAGTTACATTAGAAGATTTCAAAACTGGCTTGTTTTAAAAATGCACCAAACCACTAAAATCTATTAATTTTGGCAAACAAGTAAAAATCAGTTAACTCTAAAGTTCCAGAACACTCAGAGGATTTTTTTTACAACTATAAAAACAGAAGCATTCTAGGTATTCAACAACAGGGCAGTGGTTAAATAAGCAAGGTGTTGGAATACTGTTTAGTTATTAAAAATAATTTTTGAGGGGCTGAAGAGATGGTTCAGTGGTTAAGAGCACTAGTTGCTCTTGTAGAGGACCCAGATTCAGTTCCCAGCACCCACAGGGTGGCTAACAGCTAACTGTAACTCCAGTTCCAGGGGATCTGATGCCCTATTTTGGCCCCCATAGGCATTGCATGCATGTGGTACACTAACAACATGCTAGCCAAATAGTCATATACATTAAAAAAATCTGAAAAAACTTTTAAAAATTAATTTTTAATAACACAGAAAGCACAGTAACATGTTAACAGTGGTATATATGAGTTATGGAATAATACACATGCTTTACTTTCCTAGTCTTCTATTATTACATATATTGCTTTAATAACACATAAATGAATATACAGAGTAAATATATGTTCCAGGCTCCCTGTGTTGAACTGCATGTAACAGTTAGGTAAATCTGAAAAATTTTAAAGTTCTTTATATGTTTTTCTACCCATTGTAAACTCTAGTATATTAGTTACATTAAATGCCAGGATTCGGTGGCATAAAAAGGCACTTACCTACATGCAGGCAATACACGCATACACATAAAAAAAAGAAGGTATGTGTAATCCTGGGCAAGATTGTTCTGTACAGAACATTACTGGAACAAGTAGTGAACCTTGGCCAGAATCTGTGAATGAACTGCAGCAGTGGATCAATGCTAAGTTCTTGATTTTTGTGGCTCTATTGTACTTATCACATTTGTGGAAAACAGGGTAATTTGGTTTCATGTCACTACTAGGAAAATTTTCTTTGCAAAGTCTTTATAATTTTTCTGTATATTTGAGAGTGCTTCAAAGTAAAAATCTTTTTAAAACCTAAGTAGAAAAAATAAACTAAAAGTTCTGAGTTTCCCATGAACTACCTCTATCTATCCTCTTAAAAATTATTAATATGAGGTTTCTTTCTCTGATTTTTTTTCATGAGAAATGTGCATGTATATATGTTTGTGTGGGTATGTTTAACTAACTGTTTTTTGATACTCTAAAACAAGTTTCATCTTTATCCACCATTCCAAGCCAGAGGGATGGTAAGCAGGGCCAGTCAGAGTCTTTCTCTTATCAGCCACCAGAGAGCACCCAAGGGACCACTGGCTCAGGACTCGAGAATGCCAAGGCAGGACTCTATAGATGCAAAATTCATAAAATCCACAAGGCAATGCATGGATCCTTGGCTGAACATTTATAGTTAGGTAAGCTCTTACACTTAAAAATAAACTCAATGATCATAATTTTCTTACAGTCTTTAAAAGGATGAAAATCACTAATTTATTTAGCAGATTATCAAATAAAACAGGAACTACTTTGAAAATAGTGCATCTACTTACAGTAAATTTGCTAACACCCTCAAGTATCCCAAACTTCATATAAGAGATGTCTGCCTTCTTTTTTCCAACATCTACATCCCCAGCATAGATTTGCTTTATACCTGCACCTTTAATTAAAGGTACACATTCATCACATGGGCACTTTGTCACAAAAATCATGGTTCGTTCTTCTGGTTTTATGTCTTGACACCTACAAAAGAATTACAAAATATTACAAAGCAGTTATGAAAGGGCAAGTAATTTTCAGAGGTACCCTTAAACCTCAAAAGTGAGCATTTCACAAAAGAGATTTACAATATCATAAATAATGATCAAGTTATAGTCCTGTGTAATTAGCAAATGTTCAAATATGCAAAAGCATGATGATTATTATAACTGAAATTATAACTGAAACTGATTGCAAGTCATTGACATGATGCTCAGTACCAGAATACAAAGTGACTGAAATGAAAGGAGTCAGAGGAGGAGAGGAGAGGGAGAGGACAGGGAGGGAAAGAACAGGAATGAGAATAAGAGTTGTACATACATGGGGAGTGTGGTGGGGGAGAGACTGCAAAGAGAAAACGGTACTTTCTAAGTACATACCTCTTTATGATACTGGAAATTGGGGTTCAAATGCCTCAAAGGCTACGTAACTGTCTGATTAGACTTTAAACCATCATGGCAGCCCAAAGAGTAAGTACTAATGGGACACACATTAATGCTTACTTAAAGAGTAAATACTAAAGTTCAATTTTGAGTTATAGTTTTCTTAACATTTCTCTATCATAATTTTTAAAATAAATGTTTGGATATGATACATTCAAACCTTTGTACAGAATACAGCAAGTGAACTTGTAATGAAGACCATGAGATGAATGGAGATTTTTGGTGCATGCTGTGGGCAGTTTAAAGATCATGTATGGCTACAGGGACTTTAATTCCAGGTTCTATGGTATAATTGTTCTCAGTAGCTGTCTTCAATTTTCCACTGCTCTATCTTGCTAGTTGAGTCTCATTTCTACTCAAATTGACAAGGACAGCAGAACTCTATGCATGTAGTATGTTCAGATGTCCCTCCTGAACAGATAAGGAGTCACTATAGTGTGGCTGTTAGCATCATTCCATTTCCCCACTGCCTACCAGGCAGTCTAGATACAAAGTTCTCTATTATCCTGTCATTTCACTAACCCGTTTCCACACTGGAATCTAACTGAATATGCATGTTTCTAAACACACATGGGTTTTTTGCTTCTAGAAGGTAGCTCATGTCAGAAGCAAGGGTGGATTTCCCTTTAAGATACATCATCTCATCTCAGAAAAACTCTCAGGCTCAGCTCAAATATTAGCATTTCTCTACAGCTCACCTCTTTATCCACAGCAGTGCAGACACCCACAGTGCTTTGTGTTTGCTGCTTCCACAGAACCCTTGACATTAGGTGGATGCCATTTTATTTGTATGCTGTGGCTTGAATGTGAAACGACTCCCATAGCTCATGTGTTTGAACACTTGATCCCACTGGTGGCGCTGCTTTGTAAAGTTGTGGAACTTTCAGGAGGTGGAGCTTCACCAGAGGAAGTAGGTCACTGGGGGTGGGCTCGAGGTTTTATAGTCAAGTCCCATACATGTCCCTTCCATTCTTTGCCTCCTGACTGCAGATATAATGTGACCAGGCTCCTGTTGCTTTTGCCACTATGCCCCCCTCCCATACACTGTATTCCCTCAACCTGTAGACCACAGTAAACCTTTTCTATCTTAAGCTGCCTCTTGTCAAGTATTTGGTCAAAGCAATAAGCAACAAGCAATAATAAGCAATAATTAATACAACATCTGTCCTACTGCACTTGGAGTTCCCCCAGGACAGCAGCATGTCTCACTCAGTTTTTTAAAAATACTCTAACCTCATCTTCTTAATGGTAAATGCTGAGAAGTATTTGTACAAGTATCCTAAATTAACCTTAGAAGGAGGGAATGCCAGGTGTACTCTCTAACAGAAGCTCTTTAAAGCACTTTAATTTAAAACAAAATCTAGAATTCATAAATGTAACAGATGCACTCTGAATTTAGAAAACAAAGGAGATGCTACATCCAAAGAGATGGCTGGCCAAGTCCCTAAGGACAAACTTCAAATAGTGTCTTATAGGAGAGAGGGGGAAGAAAAGACTTTTTCAAGAAATAGAGAGGACTGCAGCATCTGACGGCCTCAAGCCCAGCAGCAGGACCAAGATTTACCAAAATTGTATTTCTGAAAATTATATTTCTTAGAAATGTAAAAGGAGATAGATGACAACAAAAGAAAGTTAATTTCAACTAACTTCTGCCATATTTTACAGAAAAGTACACTCAAACACTTCATACCTAAATGTCAAGGCATTCTGCTCCGCATGTATGATGTATCTGAATTTCCTTATTTCTCTATCTTTGTGCTTGTCATCCATGTGGGGGAAGTCAGCGTACTCAGAGCCCACAGGAAAGGCATTGTACCCACAGCCTACGAAGTACATGGCCCCAGTTCCATCGCAACTTCTCTGCAGGGGTCAGTGAAACAACATGGTGAGTTCCAGCATTCTGTCAGTGTCGTTTTAAAGTTTGCCATTAATACTTGATGAACTGAAGATTCCTTCCAAATCTGTTAACAAACTGAGCCATCAAGAAATACAGTATCTGGGCTGGTAAGATGGCTCAGCAGGTAGAGGCACTTGCCACCAAACCTGACAACCTGAATTCAATCCCCAGGATACACATAGTGGAAGAAGAGAATGATGTCCTCTGAATTCCACATGTGTGCAATGGCACATCTGTGCCCCTCCCCCGAAATAAATAAAATTTAAAAATAAAATGCGATATCAAAGCTCAAGTCCAAGAAGGATGACCACCTCTCTTATCTGTGATCTCAAGGCATCTTTGATTTTATCAGTTCATATTTTAACTTAAAAACCATTTTATTTGATCCAGACATTCCTCTTCAAGCATATCATAAAATTCTACATCAGAAACCATGTTTATACCTTTTTGTCTACCTCCTCACAGTTCAGATTAGATAGCCTATAGCAGGCATTTAATAAACAACTGTTAATTTCTTTTTAAAAAGATTTTAAAAATTATTTATGTATGTGTATCTATGTATATGTCTGTGTGCATTGTGTATATATGCACATGTATACAGGTGCCTGTAGAGGCCAGAAAAGGGTTCAGATTCCCTGAAGCTGGAGTTACAGGAGTTGTGCGTTGCCCAATGTGGGTGGTGGAAACTGACCTCAGGTTCTTTGGAAGAGCCGGGTGTGCTTTTAACTGTTGAGCCATCTCTCCAGCCCTGTCAGTTTTTTTTATCCTCTGTGCTATAATACTGATTAACAAGTCAGAAAATTTTAAAATACTTTGAATAATTTCTGTTGTTGGGCTAAAAATATGCAATTGTGCTTTAGTTAGAAAATTAAAAAACGGGCTGGAGAGATGGCTCAGCAGTTAAGAACACTGGCTGTTTTTGCAGAAGACCCAGGTTTGAATCCCAGCACCCACATGGCAGCTAACAACTATCCATAACTCCAGTTCCAGGGGATCCGATAGCCTCCTCTGTCCTCTGCGGGCATTGCAAGACATGGGTACACTTACCTACATGCAGGCAATACATGCATACACATAAAATAAGAATAATAAAATATTTTTAAAAAGGAAATAAAAAACATACTTTCCTTCTATCTTCAATATTTATTGAGCATCTATTATGTGTATATATAATCACATAGCTTATTTCTTAGTTCTTTCTTATTTCTCATGGTCAGTGGAATATTAGTTGTTAATAAGAATGCTTTATCAATTACTACAATGTGATTTTATCACTGATAATGTTTGCAACAGTTTAGAATATGCTGCTACAGCTCACTAAACTCCAGTCTATTATAAGTACTCAAGTGGCAGCATCAACATAGTTGTTACTGTAACACTTAATAAAAATCATTGTGAGAGGTTGGAGAGATAGATAGCTTAGCAGTTAAGAGCACTTGCTGTTGCAGAGGACTTGGGTTCGGTTCCCAGCACCTACATGGTGACTCATAACCATCTGTAACTCCAGTTCTAGGGGATCCAGTAGCTTTCTGGTTCCTTGGACACCAGGCACACACATGGTGCACATACATTCCATGCATGCAAATACTCATACACATAAAAATAAATAAATCTTAAAAAAATCATTGTGTTATCATGAGTTAATAAAAGCTGTCAAATGGTATCTCATTAATAAATTATTCTTGGCTACCAAATGTAAAATATCATGCTGAATTTCTTATCTATTCTTTATTTTCTTTTATTTCATGTGTGTGTACAAGTACTCACTGGGGCTCAAATTCAGAGCCTCACAAATGCAGAAACAGCAACTACAACTGAACTATATCCCCAGCTCTATATGCACTGCCTCATTTGCTTAATGTTTGAAACAGCCTAGAGAGTAGTACTACTGCTGCTGTTTTATTCATAAGAAAACAGCCAAGAAAGATGAACTGTTTGGGGTCACAGAACTAGTAAGTAACATAGATGGCTGCTTTAGAGCCCCCCCATCTTTCTGCAAGTTTTTACCATGCAGCCCTTCTACACTAGATATAAATGGACTTAAATTCTCCATAGAGCAGTGCAGATCCATATGTTATGCCAAAAAGCTTGTTGAACATTCACATAAACACAGTGAAAGTTCCAACCATACCCAGGCCTGAAGTGCTAGTTGTAACTCAAAGTCTGCCCATGTGAACTTTACAGTCTGGAGCAGGTCAGAGACTGGACATAACTTTAACTGGAATGAGTGACACAAAGAAATTCTATCAAACACTATGAGGATTTTTGGCAGAAGAACCTATTCTAACAGAAGTTACTAGGGTTAGAGCTGAGTCAAGAAGGGGCTTTGAAGGTAGATTCCATCACACTAGCTGACTGATTGCAGGTTGGAGTATGAAGAGTGAGATGGAATCACTGCTGAAGCAGCAGGATGCAGGGAAGAGGTGATCTACTAACTAGGTTGAACTTGAGGAGCGTATGAAACTGGAGCAAAGAGTCAAATTACTTGTTGTAAAATCAACTGAAACAAAATTGAGTTTATAATTTGGCCAGCTATGTAGTTATTAAATGCCTCTTAATTCCTTGTTGCCCTAATCTGTAACTCCAACTTCTCCTCATCCATTTGTGTTAATCTACATCTCTATTTCCTGTCTTGCCCCACTTCTTTTCATAGTGAAAACTTGATCAAATCATTTTCCCATTTAAAATATTCTTAGACTGTACTTTTCCATACAATAGTCACTGGCCACATGTGATTGGTCTAACTGAGAGGAGATGGGACTGGAGAGATGGCTCAGCAGTTAAGAGCACTGGCTGCTCTTGCAGAGGACCTGGGTTCAGTTCCCAGCATCCACATAGTTGCTAACAACCTCTGTAACTCCAGTTCCAGGGGATGTGACACCCTCTTCTGGCCTCTGTGGGCACTGCATGCATGTAGTGCCCTTACATACATGCAAGCAAAACATTCATACACATAAAGAAATAAAAAATTATTAAACTGTGAGGAGTCATAAATGTAAAATATGCTTGAAGATGAGTAGAATACTTACGAATCATTTTTATGTTGATTATATATTTAAATATTTTGATATTTTTGATTAAATAATTATTTTTGATTATTTTTAACTGATACATGAAAACATCAAACTAATCATATCTATAGGGTACATGTGATGCCTAAACTAGATTAAACCCATCTATTCAAATGTCTATTATTTATGATGAAAACATTCAAACTCATTTCTTTTTGAAATACATAGTACAGGCATCTCACTGTGCAACAGCATGCCAGACTGTCTCATCTATCTAATAGTAATTTAGTCCTCATGATAGACCTCTCCCTGTCTTTCCCTTCCCAAACTGGTAACTGCCATTTTACCCTAACTTCTACCAGACCAGCTTTTTATTTATTTTACACACACATTTGAAGTAGTTATCTTTATCTTTCAGTGTATGGCTTATTTCACTTAACATAAAATCTCTAGCTCCATCCATGTTTTGTAAATGACAGGATTTTATTCTTTTTATGGATGAACAGCATCCTATTGTGCATATGTATCACATTTTATTTATTCATTGGAAGATGGACACTTAGGTTGATTTCAATATAGTATATTCTTAAACTTAATTCACCTGATTCTTTTCTTCACCTATATACCTTAATTTACCCTTTTACTTTTTAATGTAGTTTCTAGAAAGCTTGAAGTTATGTATGTGTATGGCTTTAATTTCTCTTGGTTAGTACTGTGGGAGTGTGTGCACTGCCTGAAGGATAAAGCACACACTCTTCACAGGTCAGTGTTCCTCATGGTCACCAGCATGCCAGGTCACTTGCATTTCCCATCTTCTCTCTTATGTCTGTGTCTCCATGTTTTCCTGCTGGTCCACCTGACTTGCTATAACATGGTCTCACTCATTCTTCACACTAACAGCATACTAAAACCTCCAGGAATGTCTGTCATTCTCCATGCAGAACACAGGCCCTCCTGCATGTGCTCTCAGTATCAGTTCTAATTGCACTCATGAGCTAGTCTCTTTTTAACTTCGTCTCCATCACTACATAGGAGGCCATGAAAGGCAGAAAATGTGATCTCTAAATCCCAGTATTGAGCTGGTGAGATGGTTCAGTGGGCACAGGTGTCTGCTGCCAAGTCTGATAACCTGAGTTTAACCTTTGGGATCCACATAGTGGAAGAAGAGAACCAACTCCCAACAATTGTACTCTGCTGTATGCATGTCCCCTACTCCCACTACAAATGTAATTAAAAAATTCCCAGTGTTCGCTGTGGCACAGTGTGCAACCAACCTATAGAAGGCACAATGAGTAAGTCTGTGGTCATTACTCCTCAGCAGATGGAAGCGAAGAGATCACTTGAGCTCAGGAGTCTGAGACCAGTCTGGGCAACATAATGAGACCTCGCCTTAAAAATCAGAACGTGTGGGGCTGGAGAGATGGCTCAGTGGTTAAGAGCACTGACTGCTCTTGCAGAGGACCCGGGTTCGATTCACAGCACCCACATGGTGGCTATGAACCGTCTTTAACTCCAGTTCCAGGGGAATCCGAAGCCCTCTTCTGACCTCCGCGGCATTGCACAACACAGGTGCACTCACATACATGCAGGCAATACACTCATACACATAAAATAAAATAAATCAGAATGTGACACCTTGAAAATTCGACTAAATAAAATTCAGGTTAAATATTTGAAGTATTATTTTCATACTTACAGTTTTCCCTTCTGCCCAAATGACAGCTCCAACGCCTGTTTTATGATCCTCTGAAAGACAGGACATTTAACTCCGTATAATCAATGCTGTCAGTTCCACAAGTCCATTTTTCCAAAATAATAAAAACGTTCACTACAACATAATTCATAAAGGTAGCAGCAATCCCTTGTCTTCACTGACTGCAGAAAGTCTCCAGATGAACTGTTTTAGGTATGGAATATGGGAGTGACCTACCAAATGACCAGATGGAGTCACTGTCCACCCAGTCACACACAGGGAACATGAAGACCTCTGAGGAAGCGGTGGCATAGTGAGATCAGCCGGTTAACTGAAACTGAGTCCAGCTGCACTGACTCTCCTCCAACTCAATTTCTAAATGATGACTAATAGATGATGAAGTTGAATACAAAGAAGTTTCTGAAACAATGGGGTTAGTACCATAACTACTCACAAGATAAAGTTTGTCTTTGCATTTTATACTCTAATCATGAAAAAATGATTTTATGACAATGTTCTTGCTGAGAAAAAAGCTCAAATGGCCGGGCATGGTGGTGCACGCCTTTAATCCCAGCACTTGGGAGGCAGAGGCAGGGGGATCTTTGTGAGTTCGAGGCCAGCCTGGTCTACATAGTGAGTTCCAGGGAAGCTGGGGCTACAGGGAGACCCTGTCTCAAAAAGACCAAAAAAAAAAAAGACATACACACAAAAAACCTCAAATGGAAATTCTATTTAAAATCTTACTTTTCCCTCTATGTTAGAGTAAGTTTCAGATTTCTAAGACAAATTTACATAGCAAAGGATATATTTATAGGTGTATTTATAGACAGAAAATAAGAATTGCCTGTGCATTCATCTTTGGTACAGTCATACTACTAAGGCTTATGTGCTAATATCTATCCCTTTCAATTCTCTACAAGTTAATCCTTCCAATGAAAACACATTTAAATATCTACTTTCCACTATAAACAATATAGAGAAAATTTATGCCATTATTGTGTTAAAAACCAGGATGTCTTAAAGTTTGACTTTTAAAGTGATGGGAGATATGGGAGGAGTTGGAGGAGAGGGAGTAAGACTTTGCTCTTGCAAAAGACAACCTAAGACAGTCACGGTCTTTCTGTCCACAATTATAACCTGATCTGGTGTTATAAAAAATAAAGAAAGGGGAATTGTGAAGGCCAGAGCTCTGATCTGAAGTAAATTCAGAGTGAGTTCTGACCTGAAGTAAACTCGGATCTGGACCGGGAAGCCTCAGTTCCCTGAGAACTTGGATGTTCTTCTGCAGTGATTTCTATCACAAGACTGACAGTTCCTTAAACCCTATTAAATGTACATAAGTAAGCTTGTATAACAAGGCTGTGTAATTAATAAAGTTATATGTAAAGAATAGAATGTTTGATAGACATAAAACATGTAAGGACAGGTACGATTCCAAAAAGGGCTGGGCCCTGGGAACACAAAGGTACTGCAAATATCATAAAAGTACTGTAAATATCATGATGAGGTAATTTGGCTTGAGAACATTTTCTTTCCCTCTTGTTGTACTATAAGTAAGGTTGATTCTTAGAATAAAGCATGCACTGGTTCACACGCCTCTGCATCCCCTGCGTCCTGATTTCTTCTGCACCTATACCTTGGGGCCCCCAAGCCCATCAGGCTTGAATTGTGGTCACTGACCTGTGACAGGAGTGGACATAGATTTGATCAAAACACCTTATATGCATGTACGAAATTCTCAATAAATTATTTATTTAAAAAAATAAAGCTAACCAGCATCACTGTGGTGAAGTTTCTGGGAGGTATTTAAAAATAATAATAATAAAGTTAACTTTAAAAAAAATTATCATCATGGAAAAAAATTTATCTCCAATTTAAGCACATCCAGGCTTTCAAAATTATAGTACAAATTCTATAATTTGTACTAAGAACTTTTATCCATGATCTTTTATCTAAGATAAATATTCATTTCTAGATATGAAATTGACTAAAATTCAGTTTTTTTTAACCCAAGTTGCCTTTCCTCCCTCTCTCTCTGACATTAAGCACGCCTAAAAAGATTTCCATTTATTGAGTCTCCCTCTCTCTCTGACATTAAGCATGCTTAAAAAGATTTCCATTTATTGAGTACCACATGTACACAAAGTATTGAGAGAGGTTAACTGTTTGGTGCTAAGAAAACAGCAGTCCTATCATCATGCAGCTCACAGCTAAGGGTGCAGGGCAGTGATGAGGAATGAGAGGGGTGTGATACTGATCGGTACAGAGACTGGTGACTGGCTTCTATAGTGTGGAGGGCAAAACTGACTTTAGTGTCAACAGAATTCTCTTCCTTCCTAGACCTTCAAGTTTAATGCAAGGAGAAAAGAATATAGATCCAAGAATTTATGCTAAGGTAGTGGCAGAAATTAGAAATACAAAATTACAATTACCTGCAAAATCAAAACCTTTACTATAACAAAGCTGTACTTAATACATGCATAAATACAAACAAACAAACAAACAAAAATTCTTCATATTAAGAGTCCACATTTTTCCACCAATACCTTTTTTATCATTAGGATTTTAAGTCACCTTTCATATTTGTCTGGGGACAGGCTAAACCTTGTCAGGAAGGAAACAGTGTTTTTCAATCATACCCAGCTCTGCTTAGTAAAGGCTACAAGAGGCCATTGCTTTCTACCTCTCTTTTCAAATAGGAATAATTTTTATTATTGAGACATGGTTTTGCTGAATAGTCCAGGCTGGATTTGCAATCTTCCTGCCTTAGTTTCTCTGAGTGCTGTGATCACAGGCATGCACCATATATGCAATTCTCACAAAATCATTCTTTATAATCAGGTTATTCTTTGGATTGTTTCTATGCAGCTTTGAAAGTCATTTTATGTTCACTGAACAAATTTTTGAGGCTCTTTGATCCTTGAAAGCCAGAGCACTATTTAGCCTATTGTTGGCTATTTTTAATTTCTAAAACTGTGTGTGTGTGTGTGTGTGTGTGTGTGTGTAGGTCAGATGACAACTTGCAGGAGTGAGTTCTCTCCTTCCACCATGTGGGTCCTGGGGGCAGAACTTAGGCTGTCAGGCTTGGTGGTAGGTGCTGAGCCATCTTGCCGGCCATGAGCCATGTTCATTTTTGTTCCAGTTATATGCTCACATTAGTGTTGGCTCAAGTGTACTCTGCAAAGCACTTTCATCAAAATTGCTGGGATGACTGATTAAAAAAAAAGGTCAACTCATGGAGACCCTGAATTAGTCAACGGAAAGTGGCCAGGGCCCAGAAACCTGCATTTTCCAGAGCTGCCTTCTGATGCTTTGTCATACTAAAATTTGAAGTCACTGAGCTGATTAGGGATGTCCTCTGATACTCCCCATCACCAAACATGAACACACACACACACACACACACACACACACACACACACACACACACACATATATTCTATTTCGTATTCTAGAGACACTTTTAACCTCTGTGGATCTTTATTCATCATTCCAGAAGTGTAAAGGTTTTAGACCTCAAAACTCTGTGTAGGAGCTTTGGATCTGTGATTAGAGTGCTTGCTTATCTCCAGTACTAAAAATGAAACAAAACACCCCAAAAGAAATAAGAATCATGTTGAGTCTTTTATTCTGCCTAGTGAAGTATTCACATTTACTCCCTGTGTTCTTATGTTGACTACAGAACACAGTCTCAGACCCCTCTGGAAGTGCTATAGAATAGCACAGGCACCATACTATATTTTTAAAATTTGATTATGAACCATGTGTACACCTGTGGAGGCCAGTGGCTGCTTTCCAGTGTCTTCCTCTAATTGCTTTCTACCTTTTTTGGAACATGGTCTCTCACTGACCCTGGATCTCAGCAACTGGTTAGACTGGCTAGAATCCCATAGGATCTTCCTGTCTGGTCTGCAGCTCTGTAGTGATAGGCACCTACAGTCACACTGTTTTTCAGGTGTGCGTAGGGCATCTGACTCAGGTCCTCATGATTGTACTTCAAGCACTTTACCTGCTGAGCCATCTCCCCAACCCCATAAACTACTTATTTTGATTATAAAAGATTTCTTTTTTTCCATTTAATAGCCACTGTTTAGTTCTAAGAAAAAAGATAATTAAGCCATAATTTCTTCCCTGGAAGAGTACAATAGAATAGAGTACCAGGGTCAAGCTGCATCTTATTTAGGAGTTCTAGACCAAATTTCTTTTCCCTTGGGAAAAAAAAAATCTTACAAATCAAGTGTATCAGCATGGCTTTATGTACAAAATTTCTAATTGCATAAATGTGTAAAATATAGACTATATAAAATCTAAGATACAATTATATTAAACCAGACTTTGATTATCAACCCTGCTGAACATCAGAATATCTTGCAGAACTTTTTTTTTTTTTTTTTGGTCTTTTTGAGACAGAGTCTCCCTGTAGCCCCAGCTGTCCTGGAACTATGTAGACCAGGCTGGCCTTGAACTCACAGAGATCAGCCTGCCTCTGCCTCCCGAGTGCTGGGATTAAAGGTGTGCACCACCACGTCCTGTTTGCAGAACTTTTTAAGATAGATCCAGACTGTAGTCAGTCTGTATTGGGTTTGAACATCTGTATCTTTTAAGGTTTCTGTGCAGTTTCTGATACACTCTAATAAGAGCCTTGGTTGAGATCCTCTATTCTGTTTCCTTGACCTGAAGTCTTTTAAAGAATAGACTACAGACATCTGCATATAGTGGCATCTGTATAGCCCTTTTCTGGTTTTCTTCCTCTTCTCATTTCTTGGGATAATTTAAAAATTACTGGGCAAGAGATGTAGAGTGCTTGCCTAGCATGCTTGAGGCCCTGGGTTTCATCTCCAGAACCTCATAAATCAGGTCCAGGATGTGCATGTTTGTAATTCCAACACTTGAGAGGTAGAGGCAGGAGGACTAGAAGTTCAAGGTCATTCTCATTCCATAGAGTTGGGGCTACATGAGACTGTCTCTAAAAAAGATCCTGCTTTATAGCCTGTGTCCCAAACAATCTTATTTTCCCCCATATGACTTTCCTTACTTATTTCAAAGTTGAAATTTTAAGTGACTGCTTTACTTTGAAAAAATTAGGTAAGACATGAAAATAATGTTCAGATGCTGTATTTCATCAAAATAAAAACCATTCCTAAGTGATACTTTCCTTTTCCATATATACAATAAAGCAAAATTGATTGCTCAACTTGTGGACTGAAGACATACAAGCAATTAGAGCAATCTGCAATAACATTCTTTTACCTTGATTCTGTTCTTTTGAATTTGTATTTTAAAATTTCCACAGTTCAAAGTTTTTGTTAAATATAGCTTACAAAGTGCTGTGGAGTAAATGAAAATGAAAGATTTTAGTTTTCTCTTTGTGCTATCTTTAGTGGTGGGGTCAGTGAATGGTGAAATCATACACACAAGAGGTAAAAGGGCTCATATCAACTGGCCCTGGTTTGTAAATGTAGTGCTAAATATAAGGACATGTGGAATCCCCAAACTGCAAAGAATGCTGTCTACACAAGGGTCTCACTAACTCTACACTGCATGAACTACACTGCAGGTCTCACTACTCTACACTGCGGCACTCTATGAGTCAAGAAACTCTACCATAGATGAAACCACTGCACTCCACAGACAATTACAACCCAACCATTCGGCCCCAATTTATGAACTAAGCATTGAACTCACCAGTTCGATATGCCAATAACCTGGCCTGAACCATGCAGTGCCTTGCAATTTCTTGTGGTAAACTTTGATTGTGAGTGTCATTAATCTGTTCTGGGTTGCTACAGTAGAATCCGAAGTGTTTAAAATTGGGCACACTGGAAGCTACTGTGGCCAGTAGTAGGATAAGGTCTTTCATGTTTTGCCTTAGATTGCTAAAGTATGGATTTTCACACAGGTTCTCCAGACCTACAGTCATCAGTATTTGCTTATGCATTTCTTCATCTGAAACCAAAAATAACATTTCATATTCTTTTATTCTTTCTTGTTTACATTCAGAATAAAAATCAGTGTCAGCATCCAGCAGTGTTTTTGCAATTTTTTGAATAAAGTCACATTTGTAAGAAGTTTCCTCTACAAACTGCACCATATAACACACCAAAGGCTGGAGTAAGACACACACATGGGCCCGACTGTTTGACTTCAACCTTTCCACTGCTTTGGCATCTAATTTTGCATCTTCAGAACTAGATGCCTCAGTAAGCAAACTTATTTCTGGGTCAGCAGGCCAGTAAGAAATTCGGTTAACTCCAGCTGAAATACAAAAATATGAAAGGTAATTATTGGATACAATCTGAATTTAGGTTTTCTATCTAAATCTACCCTGCTATTACAGAAAATCAAAAGACCCATGAATAAATGTCTACATTGCCACTTATATAATGTGAGGGTCAGTAAATACTCATAGGTCAAACAGGGCCCACTGCTAGTATTTTTCAAGTGACAAGTTAAATATGGGCATTACATTTTCTAATACTCCATGTTATATGAAATGAGAAATTAATATTTCAATGCCCCCCATAAATATTTATGAGTCACATGATTCATTTACCTATCCATTGCCTGCCCTTGCTTGGTAATGTTGAATAGTGCAGTAGACACCATAGGGCCTGAAAAACCTGAAATATTTACTATCTAGGCTTTTCAAGAAAATGTTAACCATCCACTAACAAAGCATTTGTGGAATCACTGACTTACTGAGTGCAAAGCTTAGCACTGGCATGATACACCTGAGTTTCCCACAGCAACATGGAGGCTTTTTTGAAATGTTACAGCCAACACTAGGTAAGGCCTAGAGTTTTGCATTTAGAATAATTAATTTATGCACTAAAAATGTTCCTGTTTCACATTCAGAATTCTGTAAACCCAAATTCTGAAGAAAAATAATGTATAAACTTCATGTATATATATTTAATGCAGCTTTCTTTGACCTAAAAATATTAACAAACAAAAAAAGCTATGACTATGAAACAAATTATGGTACTCTTTGCGGTTATC